TCTTGAACTCATTTTATTTCAATTCAGGAACACAAACACAACAATCTTCAACACAGTACGTTTTAGGTTAAATTTATAACAACTCTTTTACTTTTATAAACAAATATCACCCGAGGCCAACTTCGATGTACCCTGCACGGCGAGAACATATAAACTAACCTCAACTCTAGTGGAAGCGTTCAAGTTCACTTCACACCGGACAGACAATGCCATCTAGTGGATTTTGGGGGAACTCAGTGGACAGCAGACTGACAATAGGGCAAATATACAGGAACCAATCCTTGCATATGAGATTTAGAACTGCACAAAATACAATTAGAACTGCACATTTTGTGTAGAACTGCACGTTACAAAAACGCTGATCTAAAAAAGTAGAGCTGGTAGAGAAAAACTGATTTTATATTTAGATTCAGCGCCTTAAATATAACTAAAATTAGTTCTAAAATCCTAGACACCAAAAAAAAAATTTTTTTGTAGGCCTGTAGAATATATTCTATAACTTTTTTCTTAAATTTGTTCTGTTTTACCAAACTCGCGCATGAAATACTCGTATTCCTCGTCCTGCTAACATCCTCAGCCCATTGTAGCTTTCTTTTTTATTATTCAAACAAAATGATGTGGCTTCTGTAAACCCCAAATGTCCTTGTAATTTGATAATATAAACTGCTCACCTATCTCATTCTTAGGCCCAAATTTGTTTTCAGACACTTGGTAATTTGTGTTTTCATTCAAAATAAGATAACATGTTTCACATCCATACAAAGCAGCTGACAGAACTTCATAGCAGGTAAGATGGTAATAGTTTTTTAACTGAAAAATAAACATCTCTGGACTTCATTCTTCTCACAATTTCATTACGACTCTCATTTTATTTGTTAAAGAAGGTGTCAAATATTTCATAATTTGTCTACTGACAGCACAATTATGAACGCAGTTTTGTTCGCGTTATCTTCGGTGGGAAGATCATGTGAGGGGAATTTGTATTGCGGTGCATGGAGGAAACAGGAAATTAACTAACACCAGAATTTCCCTTTATCACAGTGAACCACACAACAGCTAATGAGTCGGTTTCACAGTCAGCTATATATTAAATCACTTGACAAGAAGTGCTCTAGTATAAATGATATACGAGTATTTATGTGGTTTGCTAAGGCACTACGGTTTTGTTTACGTACAAAGCTGGAGCAAGAATGCTCCTTTCTTATTTTAAAGTACAGTATAACATGTCTAAAACGTGGATCTGGATAAAGAAAAATTTAGATATCGCAAATGGCTTTGGTTCAAGCACTACATAGTGGAACCCGACGTAATATTACGTCTAATACACGAAAAATCTTTAAAAGTATGCAATTAAAAACAAGACACTACACTCGAATATTCAATATTACTTTCCCCACAAAAATTTTGTTTTATCATCTGCTTTCTGGAACATATGGGAGAAGGAACGTGCTTGTCACAAATGGAGACTCAATCCACAACTGTTGATAGACGAGGCTAAGTTTATTTTAAACTATTGCAAAAAATGGAGAAATAAATCGAAGGTGAATACCGCTCAGGAGTAGTGAAATGGATATTTGTAGCATGAAATTCTTGCCTGTAATTTAGTTCGCAAGTGTACTGTATTTATGTAAAGTTTCTGTGCTAAACAAAGAATTGTCTAGCATGTAATAATGAAATATATAGAATCATTTTGATTCTATTTTAAGCAGGTTTCCTCTACCATGTAAGATGAACTTGAAGTTAGTTATTCCGGTTCCTGTGCGGTTTCATACTCCCTTCTAGCAAAAGACAAGAACACTGCCTGCCTTTTCAATAACGCTACCAGCTGGAATTACAACAGGAAGTCAGCCAGAAGTTTATCATGTACGTCGTTACGCAACCTGGAAACATAATTTGAAAGCACGCTAGGCACAATAGGCCTATACTCCACTACCTTGCTACTAAGACGTAACATTCATCTTGCATGCAGTCTATAAGGACCCAACAGACAATATCCTTAATACCGACACTTCCCTTTCAGCTACATAACAGCACCGTACCCCTTCGTCTGGAAAAACAACTGAGCAACGTCACTCTCCCAGACGCATATGAATTATACAAGAGATTCCTTTGAAACGGTGACAAATTTCATATACTTGTATTTTGAATTGACAGTGACAAATAAAATTATATTCAAGAAGAGGTTAGGAGCAGAATAAATTCGGGGAAATTCTGATACGATTCTTTTTCAATTTTTCACTTTTCCGTCTCTTATCTAGAGAGATTAGAATAGAACAGATGAAACTAAAATTGTAATTGCGTTCTGTAAGAATGTGGAACTTTATCTCTTAACCTAAGGAACAAGATACATTGAGGGTGTTTAAGAACATTGTGCTGAGGGGAATATCGGAAACTAAGAGGGAAGATACGAGACGACACTGAAGAAAACAGCACAATGAAGAGCTTCATTTGTTCTCCCCACCGAAACCACTGATATACCTGCAGAAAAATAAATACTGAGATTGTGATCTTCTGCATTTTATAGACGTTTCGGAAGAACCTGCTGCCTACATCGTCAGAGTATAAGCAGGTTCTTCCGAAACATTGATAACCACTTAGAAGAGTACAAGATGTTATAACTCAACCGACCGCAGTCAGAATTTTAACCGCCTTATACACTTCTAATCTCAGTATACGCTTGCGTTTCCTCTTTGGTTTTCCTAAATATTCGTGCCACCTTCTTAAGTTACAGCACAGTTATGGCGGCTAGGCAGTGAAACTTGAACGATTGTGTAATTACAGTTCGGCGCGTGATGACGTTCCGAGCCCAGTGCGTGTTGTCTTTGCATCTCTCCGTGTATAAGAACATAACTTAAACGACACAAAGAGTAGATTAAACTCAGAAAATGTTTGCTACTCTTCAATTCAGAATCGTTTACCTTCCTAACTGAACACGTAAGAAGTAAAAAGTATGAAAATATCATTTATTTCACATACTGCCTTCTAAAAGAAGTTATTGAAGGAAAGATAGAGGGGCGGATAGACGTGACCAGAAGACGAGGAAGAAGACGTAAGAAGATGCTGGATGACCTTGGGGACAGAAGAGGATATTTTCATTTGAAGGAGGAAGCTCTAGATCGCATAAAGTGGAGGAACTGTTTTGGAAGAGACTGTGGACCTGTTGTCTTGATAGATTACAGATGAATGAATGAATGAATATATATATCCGTCACTAACGAAACTCGTAATAGTCACTATACTTCTTCGTTCACAATATGTTTCGGCGGTACACGGCCTTCATCAGGTGTCTACCACTATGCTAAAACTGCTGCACTGCACGACTTGTAATGCGATACTCCTTATTACAGAATTAAAAAATTAAAATTAAAATAAGTCAACTCTAATTATTTCAGTTAAAATCAAGTTAAATCCAATTCTTCTTCTGGGTATCGCCTACTCGTCGAAACGACTTGTGGACGAAGAAACAAAGTGACTATAACGAGTTGCATTGATGACGGATATATATATATATATGTGTGAAATAAATGATACTGTGACGAATATGACTAACTAAGGGAGATAAATTAACAGGATGGATAGGAATGCATAATATATAGCTTACATCATTTATATCCATCGGTAAATATTAAGAGGGTGATCACATCAAGGAATATATGAGGGGTGGAGCATGTAACATGCATGGTAAATATGAGAAAATTATACAAAGATTTAGTCGAAAAAAAAAAGAAGTAAAGACACCACTGAGGAGACCTATTGCTGGACACTGCCACATAGAAGGGCACCTTTTCAAACTGGGGCTCACAGACGACCCAACGTGTCAGAGGTTCCTACAAGAAGATGACTCAGCCACACGCATCTTATGTGATTGTGGGGCTATAGCTTACCTAAGATATCGCCACCTGGGTCAATTCTTCATGGAACCAAGAGACTTTTATGGCGCCCCCGTAAACAAAGTCCTACATTTCATTCGAAGTGTAGGATTGATAAAGTGTTAATCCAAAGGGGAAGCACAATAAATCATTGAAGGTCGCAGTGCAACGGCTGGTTTTTATAGCTCACCCCTCATACTCATTCTCATAGGAGACCTAGGCATAGCTAAGAGAATAATATTAAAACGAATCTTAAATACGTAGCCTATTATGAGGTGGAACGGATTAATCTGGCTCAGGATAGGGTGCAGTAAAAATGTTGCCGCGAATATGAAAATGATTTTATGGATCCATTCAAGACGTAAAAATTCTGACCAGCTGAACGACTAACAGATTGTAAAACAGACTGTATTCTACAAAGAAGACAGTTAAGTTAGTTCAGAATACGACACGGTTAGGTCATACGTGGCCATCATCAGGTGTAAACTGTTGTACTGTACTGCATGTCACAAATGCATATGGGTAATTGTCGGTACTCTTTAATTGAAATAAAATTACAATTTTGTATTTCAGCATCTTGTTGCAATTGTTTAACTTAACGTCCATTTATTTATCGTCCATCAATATTGCAACACTCGTTCCTTCACTACTTAATTTTAATTTTAGTTTAACATTACACACTTTGACACTACATGTTTCGGCCCCAAACGGCCATCTTCAGATCGTGTCTTGATATCAAGACACCTGAAGACGGCCNTAAAACGGGTCGTTGGGGGCCGAAACATGTAGTGTCAAAGTGTATAATGTTAAACTAAAATTAAAATTAAGTAGTGAAGAAACAAGTGTTGTAATACTGACGAACGATAAATACATGAACGTTAAAATAAAATTACAAATTAAAATTAAAATATTTTTTTTAAATAGACTAACACATTTAACCTATTAACGCAGTCTTCGGCGGTGTGGGTGTGTTCGTATTTCGTGTAGTTCAAGAGTGTTGATGTGAATGTTGATTTCTCTTATATATGTCCCTTTGGCTGTATACCCATCACCCAGCTTGTTTAGTTGCGTTGTTGTTTACCTGGTGTGTGCGTGCAGCTAGCTGTCCTTTGCTCTGGAATCAGTACCTTCTTGTAAGATATAACTGTTCATATCGTAGTAGACTAGCACAAATCACTGCTCACAATCTAGAAATAAATAGTTTCTACTTTGACCACAATTTAGTGTACTGGAAATACGAAGTTCCCACTACGCTTGGAACGAAGCAACTGCCACAGCTGGATCCATATCTGTTGTGTTTGACTGTGTGAATTAGAATTGCGTCCACTGAATGCGGCAGCGACAGTAACGAAAACATTTCCTGTGCTCCCACAACGTCTTTCCCCTCTTCCTAACGGTAGCGTTATATCATATCAGCGCCGAGGGAATACGCCATAACCTGTAACGAAGTAGGCATATCACGACTTGCGCCAGCGGGGCAGGCCAGGCATCTACCCCTTGTCCCCGGACTTTTGAAAAATTCTGCATTTAAAAAGGAGGTATATAAATAATTAACGATATAAATTAGAAAAATATAATATATTTTTTGATATACAAAATACTAAAATGCAATAAGAAAAGAGTTTTTCAACAGCTTAAACATGTGTAAATAAAATTAAATTCTGTTCCTTCCAACTTTCTGGAAGAAATCCTGACGTCGCCCATGCCTGTCATTATTATTCCTCTGTGGGAAGAAGAAACGAGGCGGAATTGAAGAATCGTCATAAACAAGGATACTATACACCGCTATTAAGCTTATGCTTGCTTAGTATGTGCCAAAATTAAACTCCCCCACAAACCTAGTTCAGACTTTTTTTTTTCGTTGGCACTACAGCCCCACTGGGCCTAGGCCTACCTCCATGAACTCCGTTCACTTCGGTTTTTCTAGATCTTACACATTCGGTAGGACTCCTTGGGCGGGTGATCAGCTCGTCGCAAGGCCTCTACCTGTAGACAAACACAGAAAAACGCACACAAACATCCATGCCCTGAGTGGGATTCGAACCCACGATCCCGGCTTCCGAGCGAGCGAAGACAGTGCACGCCTTAGACCGCTCGGCTACCGTGACCGGCTCCTAGTTCAGACTATCACATCAAAATTCATAGAATGTTTTATATATTCCCTGAAACGAAATAAGTGGACGGACGGATTGACAGAGACATATGCCTACATCATTAAGCGTTTATGTTATATACTCCGTGCAAAGTACACATAGAATAATTATTTATAAGGTGGCGTCTACCCAGCCTAGAGGATTCCAATCCCAAACGCCTCTAAGTGGTCTGCAAGCTGTAGAAGGCCCTGCGACAAGCTGAGTGCCTAGTATGTGAAAAAATAAATAAACTATTCCGTAATACTACCTGAAATCAATCCTACTCACTAGTTGGGTTTTAAAAATGTTAAAAGCCAGCTGCTCTCTGCCATTACAAATAGAAATTGTGTGGACTTGTTTCTCACGGTTTTATACATCTATTTTTGTTAAGCAGAATGATACAATGGTGATAATATCACCTTATGCAACATGTATATATTAAATGTTCAGAACATAATTTACATGTACTTCCTTCAACTAGAACTGAGTGTGACAAGAAACATAAAAATTATTTGTTTATGTGTCACAAACTTGTCGAGATACAAGTGCGCTTACTTAATTGAAAATGCTGGATGCTTACTACTAACTGCTGAAGTCAAAGGAAATTAAAAAAGTTTATAACGGAAATTAATTTATTTCTATATTTATAAACATCAGTAACAAAGGCATAATATTCCCACTAGCTTCTCCGCGTACTCAAAAAACTTTTTGAAACACACAGCGGTCAGCTTTAGACAAAACAACATTAAACACTTAATTTACATCAATGTACGTAGCTTCTAGAGTTGCTAACCTCCCAGGAGTCGGAAGGGAATTCGAGTCTTGGTCGGGTCATTCGGTATTTGTAGTGAATAAAATCGTTTTGTTTTCGGATACGATTTTAAAACGATGTGCGTATGTAACATGATCACAGTTTATATAAGCATAGACTACATTATAAGGATCAAAAGTCATGATTTAGCTGTGAGCATTTCTCCTTCGTATTCGGAAGATCGTGGTTCTGAATCTCGATCCAGAGATCTGCTATTCTGACTGAAGTCTATCATAGCCTCCCTCAGTCATTCCATGAATATACTCAGATATTATCTGAGAAAGACCACAGCGCTTTTCGCACAACGCTTCCAATTTATCAATCCAATCATCTCACAATTCGTCTCATTGTGACACATACATCTAAGGATCTCTCGTTAAATAAATGTATAGCAGACAGAGTTTACTGTACCTTATATGCCTAAAGCACACAATATTTACCACACACTTGGAGCGATGTGTCGGCCTATAACGATAATGTTCCGACATAACTTTCACTTTGCTAGTAATTTTCCACTGAAACGTTTGCTTGAAGTTATTTCTTCTAACCTACTTCACAGTGTATATCAATTGCAGGCAGTCGAATGAAAAAACAAAAAAGAAAGAGTGCCGATGAGAAGGAAAGAAAAATGTAATCTAAGTATGGAATATATTAATATATAAAAGCCACAAATGCCTCATCCGGGCAGCGGGACGCTGTCGGCATGAACTGTCTTCAAATTTTGCTAAAAAATTTGAAGGGGTTCTCTATATTAAACCCACCAAAATCTTGTTTCATGGGTAACCCTAGGATAGAATAAACGGATTTCAATTTTTTACCCTTAGATCCTATCCGCTTGTCGTTTCATACCACCTAAATGACGATGTTTCGCACCCATAACCACCAACCACTTATCATATTCAGTCCTTATCTACGTACGTGTATATCGCAAATAGAAGACAGTTTGTGATTACGTATGTGTGCCATCTGGTCAGTTCATATATTGTGTAGTCTTACAGCCGTGGTACAGTTTTCGCTTGCTTGTGCCAGTGTTCACAACTGCGCCATCTGAATTTTGAAGTTGTAACTTAATTCACTGATTTAAATAAGAAAGGAGGAAACGAGATAAAAGAAAGTAAGAAAAGGCTTGAGGGATGAAGACGGAGAACAACTCCTTCCCCGCTGAATTCCAATGCGTTTTTACATATATATATTACGATATACAAATTACCGTATAGGAAATATTATTCTATTCAAGGGAATTGAAGATAATCAATGACTATGAAGGCCTATTAGTAACGAGAAACAAAGGTTGTGTTGCATAGAATGATCGAAGCAAATTTTATCCTTCTTCTAAAACTTTCATGGATTAGGTCCTATGGCCCGTTTCGATTCACAATTAGAAGTATTCGTAAGGTCCAAGGCCGTACGAATTGTAACAGTGATCAATAATTCCGCGTTTCCTGTTCATAAAGGTCTTATTTGTACCGCCAGCGCAACAAAAATATATCATTTCTGCCACTACGTCCGAAGCTGCGTCATGTGTATGAATACGTGTATGTGTTCACACACACACACACACACACACGCGTAAGGCACTGACAATATGCACCAGTCTGAAATGTCTCAATCAGTAAGAAACACGTATAGGAGCTTATTTAACTACGATTACTCAGTTACAATATTTACGGAACATCGAATCGAAAAATGATAATTAATGAATAATTATGGAAGAGTTCGTCTTTCGCAAGATATCACTCCAGCATTTGCCTGGAAATACTGAAGAAATCCAATATAAATCTAAGGTTAGATGACCTTCGAAAAGAGAATATAACTCGGGACTTTCCTATTACGAAGCGAGCGTTCAAATTATTGAACCGTAATATGAATAGAATATTACGTTGTGGCGTGCCGCCAAAGAGGACAGAAGACAAGTCCATTGATAGGCAACGGCTGCGATAAGAATGTATACTTCAGTGGAAACGCAATATCAGCAGACAGTTGCATAGGAAACGCCCAAACAACAAATACGTTTCCCCGGAAATTGAAGGATATCCATGGAAACGAATACTACCAGCGTGTAAAACCGAACTCTTGAACACGATATTCATCAGTCAGTCCGAGTGCACGTTATAAAAGTCCAGCTTCGACGAGACCAGTCAGTGGAAGTCTAAATTCTGAGACAGTAAAATATGGTCGCGAGTCCCAAGGCACTCGGACCCGAGTAAGACTGCGCTGGCAAGGGCCAGCAGCATATACAAAAGACAGACCCGTCCTCTCGTCAGAGAAGGCGCCCCACAGAAACAAGACCGTAACTGTCAAGCGATAATAATTAATATCTGGTCATGAGCCCCAAATGGGGCTCGACACCAAGACTTACTGATTGACTGACTGACCGTCAGTCGCAATGTGACTTTGACTTTGACTTGACCAGTCAGTTCTTAGTGTAGCTCCGACTAGAGCAGAATCCAGCTCACATCCGACAAAGGGATCGAGACACCTCACCGAGATCAGCGGTGCAAGTAATTGTGACGGTGCAATTAATTGTGACAGTGAAGTTGTGAATAATTGTACTTGCGAGTGTAAAAGAGATTGTCCAATAAACGTCTTAGCCAAGTCTGAGACCCGCGTGAAGTTACTTGTCGCGTTACATAGGCAACACGTGACAATATGTATACAGAGAGAGAGAGAGAGATAGTGATGATAACACAACAAGCTGCGTTCTTTGAAAATGAATCAAATAATATAAATTCGAACCGGATACCCCGAATGCGCAAGATGACCCATCTTCCTGCCATGACATTAAAACTATTGTCACGTGTTGCTGTATGTGAAGCGACAAATAACTTCACGCCGGTCTTGGATCTAGCGAATTTACTGCACACTCGCTCTTACTTATATAATTCACAACTTCATTGTTCCAGTTATTTCTCCTGCTGTAGTCATTTCTAGGCTTCAACTGTCTTGATTCCATTCACTCGATACAACTCAACATGTCTGAATAGTGCTGACTGCTCCTTATATAGGCTCAGCACGGGCCACATAGAAAACATAGTGCTGCTCGCCAACAGATATCAGGTACTGTTGTCAGGCGTGTCTGCCCACACACTGCCTAGCAATGGACGCCCTACTGTTGCGTGACGTCACAGCCTAGCGGGGAGGGGTGTTTACCGAGCGTTGCGTAGTTAGTGATGAGTGGGAATATGTGACGTCACTCGCACTTCCTGTTGCGCTATCCAAGCGTTCACAGAGTTGTCGCCTAGTACCGCGCGGATACAATCCGCAACTCTCCCGCTGCGCGGGCGTCCCGAGGCCTCTGTGGCTCAACAGTTCCTGCTTAGAGCAAATATGCCACGCTATCTATCTATCTATCTATCTATCTATCTATCTATCTATCTATCTATCTATCTATCTATCTATCCATCTATGGCTCTACGGTCCTTTGTTGGACCTTGG